TTCCAGCAGAATATTAAAATACTGTACAATGATTCATCAAATATTAAAAACTTCCCTAAACAGGGCTGCCTTCAGATGTCTTCTAAAAGTCTGATAGTTGTTTTTTTCTTTTACATCTGAAGGGAGGATGTTCCACAGGGCGGGCACCACTACTGAGAAGGCCCTCTGCCTGGTTCCCTGTAACTTGCTTCTCGCAGTGAGTGAACCACCAGAAAGCCCTCGGTGCTGGACCTTGATCATACCTGGCATGTCATACAGACAAAGAGGAATGTCAATTTGGTCTGACCTGGTGAGCACTCTGAGGAATCTAGATGGTGAAGGGTTTCCTGACCAACTTACCTCTCACTGCCTGCCAACTGGAGAGGACATGAGAAGGTGGGTGGTCTTGTGCCCTAGAGATGCTTTGTTCTATTGAATACTGTCCAAAAGGGCTGGAATGGAGCAGTCTGATGCTTCCTTGGGTGAACAGGTGGTGAAAGGCATGGATCATTTAAGTCTAATCCAGTAGGGTGAGCCAAGGTGGTGTTGTAAAAATGTAAGAAGACCCTGCTAGGTCAAGCCAATGGCCCATCCAGCTCAGCATCCTGTTCCCAGATGCCCATGGGAAGCAAGGTCTGAGCACAATAGCACTCTTCACCACTGGTGTAGTAGTCAGAGGCACAGTAGTTTTGGCAGTGGTGGTAGCTACTGTACTCCTAAGCTCTTGCACTCCTTTAACCCAAATTTTGTCTGGTGTCTTCATTCCAGGGCATAGGGGCAATCAGGCCAACCCATATTCATTCATTAGAATCAAAATGGGAGGAGTCTTGAAACCGCAGCATATAAGCAGTTTCAGCCATTATGTTTCTGAAGTGGATATCTAAGGCTGGATCTAGACACATTAAAGAAGTGTTTCAGTTTAAAGTGCTGAATGCAAATAGGTTCCTATTCTTTTCCAGAACTGGGCTCTGATGGGCATAGCACTGATTGGCTGTCCGCCATTGCTGTTACCATCTGTGAAGCATTTCTAGTGAAATTTCGTTTTAAAAAAACATTAAAGGTACAAATGAAAGGGTTATTAGATGAAGTATTTCTTTGTGGTGGCACCAGAACTTTTCAAAGCCTTCCCCAGTGAAATCCTTCTGGCCACCTCTCTCCGAATTTAGGTAGGTAGGTTTTGAAAACCTAGTTTTCTATTTATCTACTTACCTAGGGGTAAGCCCTATTGAACAATGGGACTTACTTCTGAGTAAGTCTAATCCAGTAGTGTGACATGTATGGCTTTCCATTGCACGTTCTAGAAATCTGATACTGCTGATCCTGTTATTGAATTCTAGATTATGATTAGATAGTTTCTTGTTTAAAACTGCTTTCTTTTTAAAAGTTATTTCAATAGTACTTTTTAATGGAAAATCTGTATGTATGTATATATGTGTGTGTGTGTGTGTGTGTGTGTATGCTACAAAATTTATGAAGTGCTTTAAAAAAGAAGCTGACAGCCCAGTTAATGTATGCTTAAGATTTGGTCAGCTGGTATTTTGCTTGAAATTCTACAGGATGACACACAGGAAGACTGTTGCAATTAAGAAAATAAAAGATTAGCTAGATTGTCCCCATGCTGCTAATATGCAAAGGTGTTAAGATGAATGGCTGAGCCATCATTTGATTTGATAGTATGAATATTTGTCATTTCAGCTACAAAGCTAAGCTCACTTGATTTGGGGTCTGTTATATCTGATTTTCACCCATATAGACAGACTGACTTCCCAGAGAGCCAGGATCACTTACATCTCTCTGTGGTTCATACACTTCAATTGCCTGCTACATAATTTGTGAAATGGCTCAGCTAGAATCAAGCTGTGATTTATTTATTGTGTAAGAAAATATATTTGCAAAGTGCATTAACTGTATGGTGCATGTCAAAACCATAGGCAAATAATGGTCTCAAACTCCGGAGTAACAAACACTGGCATATTTGTGCGAGACTATCTTGATGTCCTTATAGTTTGTACAGATTGGCTACTGAAAGTCCCATGCGGGAATAGGCCATGTTTTTGTGATAAGACTATTAAAAGCAAATCTTGGGCAACAGAAAGGACATTCAAGCATTAGCAAATTTCTCAATTCAATATCAAACCTTTATTGGCATATAGACAAAATTTCAAAAGGTTCAGTACAATAAAATCTGCACCTAACAATTAAAATATTCACAAAACCTCACTGCATGTTGCAGAAACCTGGCTACTATCTCCATCTTATCCCCAAACAAATATATCAAGGGATGAATCTTGTAGAATTTGAATTCTGTGTAACTTGCTTTCATCTTAAAGCAAAAGTACTTTACAGTATATGCATAACTACTGTAGTTTGCTGATCGGTGGTAAATTCCTCTGGTGTGAAAAGCTGTTATTTTTAAGACTACTCCTATGGACGTCTCCTTATTCTGTGTGAAAAAAGGAATTTTCCCACCAAATTACTCATGTCAGTTATTGATATGTTTATTGTTGACTAAGCTTTGATTTCAGTGAAAAATTTGAGAGAACACTATTATTAAAGTGCTTGTTCAATTTTTCTCTAAAAATTATGCATATAAAAGATTTATTGTATTACTCTAGCTGTGAGACAGGGTGGGTAAATAATATAGTTTAAAAATAAGTGGCCAACCATCCTTACAAAATGAATTATTATTATTTCTCTTTCTTTGAAGGTGTCAAAAGCCATTTTTTCTTAATTATTTTTGATGTTTTCCTTCTCCCAAGAAAGATTCCCTGAGGTTCTCCCCTCCCCAAGAATAGAAATAATTAACTGGCTTCCTTTTGAACAGATGTAAACTTTGAAAAGATGACTCTTCTTTAATTGTACCTGTCACCCAAGGAGAAGGTGCCTTGCCTGAAATGTCAGGAATCATTAATAGAAACAGTTTATGTATACACAGCCCCCCGCCTTTGAAAGAAATGTATCTTTCACAAATAACTCCTAGCCTGATATTGGATGAGTATTCCATAGTGTTTCTTGTGCCAAAAATGAGCATTTGGTTTCTGTGGGTACTGAGTGAAGCAAAGCAGGTTCCCCATTGAGACAGGAGAGGAAAGCAAACGTCTTAAAAATGGCTGAGTTTCGTCTTATATCGACTTTTGTATCATAGTACCAGCTGGAAAATTGGATACAGCTATTCATGCAGAATGAAAAGAAATAAAGTGTGATTGTATTGGGCTGGGGATGGAAGCTGGCAATGTCAAAGGGCCATCACTTTCTTACAGTGAGAACAGATGTCTTCTTGGAGTCTTTTCTCTTCTATGTTACATCAATAATGATGATGATGATAAAACAACAACAACAATATTGATGGTCTCCAAACTATCCAAATGACAGTATTTCCCACATTCCATTCCTTTATTAGTTCATGGTTTGTTATTTTGCTATTTGTTTTACCCTGAATTCCATTCCTCCTGAATTCCAGTTTAACCAAGATAATCATAAATTCCATGAGCCTTCTTGGACCTCAGCAGATAAATACACCAACATTGCTGAGATCCTTCTAATTGGAGACATCCATGATTTGAACCTGCATCTTTCTACTTGCAAAACAGGTTCAGGGGCCTCTCTGTCTGGCCCTCAGGACTTTCCACAGCCTCTGCCGAACCACATCCCTCTGCAGACCTACTTCATACCCTCCTTGGGTATTTTAGCCTGGTTGGGATGGGTCCTTGAAATACTATACTATATTTACTATACCATACAAAGTATTCATTGCCTCTGGTCCTGCCCACCACTGATAAGTGGCTCCAAAAAGCTCAGGTGTCCATAGTTTCATGCTCCCTCAAAATAACTCTCATTTTTCTCTTCCTGCAGCAGTACCTCAAAGTACGAACATTCCAATACATTTTGCTGCCTGAGGTAATGAACAAGATGACAGCTCCTTCCCATTCAATGTGCAAAAGCTGTCTGGACTAGCAAACTGAGTCTTCTAACTATGCTTGTGGCAGGACAATGTCTTCCATCACAGAGTACAGCAGCCTAGTTTGGGGAATGCAGGGCAGGTTCTATAGCATATTCTCCTAGAGGGTGGAATGGGGGCAGCGACTTAAAGGATCCAGGCAGGAACAGTAGCACTTGGTTTATTCAGACAAATGGGTCAGTGCTCCACCAATATCAACCAGCAATCACTCACCCAACTGTTACTTACATTCCACCATCTTCCTCGTCGTCAGTGTTGCCAGTACAGAATTCAGTAGGGAGGAGGATGGAGACAAAACTAGAGCGAATTGGCTCTGTCTGTTATATGCTCTGGCTCCACCTATTGTGGGTCCCTCTACCCTTACCAGTCCCACTGGGTACCAACCACCACTCATCAGGTTGACACCACTGCCCTGGTAGCCAGCACCTGCCACCTGAGGTAGTAATCTCACTTTTTCTAATAGCAGGGCCAGCCCTGCCTTCAATTTCTGATTGGTCCAAGCTATTCTTTCCAACTTTGCACATTTTAACCCTTGGGACTCTACTGCAATTAAGTGTAAGACCCTAAAATTGTAATATATTAGGCCAACAACCACAACAATGAGTTACTTGAGCCTCTTACATGCCCCCTCCCAATCCAAGGCCAGGGAAAAAAAAGGTTAGTGTTATTATTTTTTAAAGCATTACAGCTAGGTGGTGGACCCAATGTCTGTAAAGTTTCAGCTACAACTATTCTCAGTGCTGAATTCTGGTCTTGATTGACATTTATGAAAACCACTTCATTAAAACAACAGAGTTATAGATCTCTTCTTCCTGCTTGTACTCACTAACTGCAGATTTGGCTGCACAAAGCTTCTGGAGTTACTTCGAGATTCAAAATGCAGATCCAGCATTTATCTTCAACAGTTATTCTCCCTGTGACATTTGGGATAATAAAGTTTTTAGCCTACTTTTTCACACTGATGTTAACCAAAGAGCTGCAGAGGTTAGAGCAGCAGTAGTGTTAGAACGGACCATCCATTTACCTAATCTGCTGGACCAAGTGGATCAGTGTGGAATGGTGGGGAAAGGCAGCTCACTGGTAGAGCATCTGCTGTGTGTGCAGAAGGTCCCAGGTTCAATCCCCAGCATCTTCAGGTAGGGCTGGGAAAGAGTGAAATCCTGGAGAACCTCCCCCAGTCAGTATAGACAATACTGAGCAAGATAGACCAATGATCTGACTCAGTATAAGACAGTTTCTTATATTCCTATGGTATATAGTGAAGCAATCACTACAATTATACATTCAGTTCCAGGTACTGAGTGTGAGAGTACCTCAATTTGCATTCTTGGTTCTGTGCCAGATGAGGAAGAGAGTTTCTGGCTAAGGCAGAGCACATCCCTCTGAAATTTCCAGATCTGCCCATCCTTCCTGAACCTGAAAGAATTGTCTCACTCGGCTTCATTACTGGGTCATTCATGCAACAGGGTGATCAAACTGTGATGCTTTGCTTCCAAGTTATTCCTCTGGTCTCCCCAGGGGCTGTCATCCCATTTTGCCATCTGAGGTGAAACAGCAAGGTGCTGCCTTGCATGTGTGCTGCCCGCACCCCCTTGCCAACCCTGCTGAAGCCTCACTTTCCAGGGTTGCATGGCTTCAGCTTTAGGTGAAATAATGTGGATTTCAGACACAATTTCATGGGGCTCTGGTGAGATCTTACTGGAGCCTGGAAGCTACTACAGCCACTTCTCTGGTGAGATCTTGCTGGAACCTGGAAGCTACTACAGCCACTTCTCTGGCAGTTGGAAGGCAAAGATGCCCCTTGTATTCTACCACCTGAGTCTGCCAGTGCTGCTTCTCCCCCAACCCACCCCTCAATTATCTTGACAATGGGTTGGCAGTGGTATTTATTTTAACAAGACATATTTGATAATTTGTTTCCCTGAGATGTATAATTATGTCGTACATTCACCTGTGGATTTGTCAAAGAAGGTGCGAATCACAGCAGAAAAAGCTCCCCTTTGCAGCATAATACCAGCACGTGCAGAAAATTTACATGTATCTGCTATGGCTTTGGAACTGTTTGATGTGAGAGTGTGGGAGAGATTGGAAAGAGATTGTTCGAAGAATTACTCTTGTGAGACTGATTTACTTAGATGCTGAGAAGCCTGTTCATCCACTCCATTTTATTATAGAGGCTGGTGGCGGTGGCAGTGGAAGGAGGGGTCCCTAATGCTTCAGTGCTACTTGCTAGTTATTATTCTCTTACATTTCAAATGGGGAAATGTAGGAAATTTTGTCTCACAAGGTTTTCAGATGTTAATAACCTGTATCTGTTTCAGAACCTGTGACAGGCAAAGATTTCCTTGAGGGACTTTCAGATAGATTTTTTATTTTATTTTTAAGATCACTGTATACTGAATAATATTATTTTCCAAAGCAAGCAGTGTTCGGGGGGTGGGGAGGGGGGGGGGAGTTGGAAAGAAAGGGAAATGAAATTGCTTCCAACACTTGGGTTCATAATTTCCCTGTCATCTTATTTCAGGAAAAACAATTGAAATTACTGAGTGTAGCATGTATTGATTGTCTGCAATAACAAATGTGATTTAGCTGACATTGGTGTCTATTGGGGAAGCCTAAGCTTCAGAACTATGGAATTAAAAACAGGTTAGGGTTTAGGAAAAGTGAATAAATAAGAGATCACATAAGCCGAAAGCAGAGTCTAGCAACTCATACAAGTCTGAGATAACCGTAGCATTGGAAAAGGGTGGTATGATGCCACTAACACTTATTGAATTGATTGCATTTCTTTATTCACTCACTATAATTCTATTGGACTATTCCTCCAAGGAGATCAAGGTGTTATTCATGGCCCCTGCTTTTATCCTGGTCCAAAGTCATGACTGTCCCAAGGTCATTCTGTGAGCTTTGTGACTGAGTGGTGACTTGAGCATGAGTCTCTTCAATCCTCCTTTAAACTCTACATCTCAGATACTGATTTGGTCAATAGATTTTGGATTGGTTCAGACCTGTTCCTACTACTAGGTGTACACTTCTGGGGAGCGCAGGTCTGCTGGACTAGGTTTATGTAGCAGTACTGTTGCCATGCAACACATAAACTTTCTCCTAAGTCAGACCACTAGTCCACCTAGCTTAGCAAACATTTTAGCTAGCACTTGCTCCAGAAGGACCCTGGAAAAAGTCTTGTTCCTGAGACTGTTCTGGCTGAAGATGCTGGATGGTTGAACATGGAACATGCTCATGTGGATAATCTATTCACAAATGCTCTACAGTCAGGTCTAAAGAGGAAGTGCACATATGCAGGGTAAACAAAGGGCCACAGCAGCAGCATTCAAAATTTGCAGAAATCAACCTAAGGTCAGAGCCATAGCATATACTTAAAGCACAACCAATTCACATTTACAGCACATGACTACCTCCAAAGAATCCTGGGAATGCCTCACAGTTTTAAGTATCCTTAACAAACTACAGTTCCCAGAATGCATATGTGCAAGTTGTGTATTTTAAATGTGCACTGGATGTGCTTTCAATGTATGGTGTGGATCTACCCTACAGTAAGAAGCCTAGAAAATAAGAGAGCTTAGGATGAGGGAAGGGTGACATCGTCACCTCATCCTAACTCATTTTGCTGGCAAATCAAGCCTGCCACAAGTGCAAGTAGCAGATGGCTCCATTTGCATTTGGCTGGCCAGCACTTGGATGGCACCTCCAAAACTTAAAGTCCCAAGACTATGAATATGAGGACCAGACTGATATCCTTTCCACATTCCAGTCTTGGGGATCTATAATGATCCACCTGTCATCATAAATGTATATCAGGGCATTCATTAGTGGTTCAAATTCTTCTTTTATTTCTGCACAGTCCTGCAGGCATAGCCAACCTATTGAAATGTGCTCACCATTAAGAATGCAAGAAGGCATTGATTTCTGTCCTGCTATGTATTTGTTGCATGCAGCAGTTACTGTTCCAATGCAGTTCAACTTCTAACAAAAGCCATGTTATTTGTCTTGCTTCCTGCTATGGTGAAACTTTGCCTAATTCATTATTCAATTAATTATATTACCCCACACCATTCATTCCAGAGCAAACAAAAAACATATCAGGATGAGGGGGGAGTCACCAGTTGCATGCTGTTATGTATCATTTGCAGACTGAAAACAACAACTGTGAATACTCATCGTATTCACTCATCACATTCGCTGGGTTGATTTCCATTCAAGAAGACATGGCATGAATAAACAAACACTAGCAATTTCCATTCCTATCTCTGTGAGCAGGGTAGAGTAGATGAAAAACCTCATGAACCATGGCTAATCAGAGCAGGGTGAGGAATTCTATCTGCTCCCCAAAGGCAAGTAAACCTATGCTATGCCTAAGAGTTGGGCAGGTAGAGATGCAAAACTGATAAAGCAGGCTAATTGGTGGTGGCAAAAGGGGCAGATCTTTTATAGCCCATCCACTCCCTATATGGTTTGTCCTGTAGGATGTATTCTCCAATGTGATTTCCTGTATTATAGATACTGGGGATTATGGGAGAGACACAGTAGTGCTGTATGCTCCCAAGGTTTATATTAGGTCCACTGAGTCTAGAGTCTTTAGTGTGGTGGCATCTTCACTTCCAGTAAACAACAGGCAGACACCTGCAGTATTAGCATCCAGTTTCAAGCTCACCTTTTCACCCAGGATTTCCCTGAGGGGTTATCTGGATATGTTTGATCTCTGATTTGTGGCATATTTGGTGTTTGCTTTATGGATGTAATTTTATTGCTGTTCAGCCACCAGAAACTTTAGGAAGCTCTTCACTACAATGATATTCTTCTTAATCCGGGCAGTATAGAAATTTTTCAAGTAAAACAAATAAACATACGTTTCCCTCAGCCCCAGCCAGCATAACCAGTGTTGAAGGATGCTGACAGTTGTAGTCTACAACATCTGGAGGACATCATGTTGGCTGTATATAAATCATCATCATCATTATCTAATCTTACTGAAACTCATTCAGATTTTCTGCAGATACCCACCCTATCCCCCAATAAAATTCATTTCTGATGAAATGCCACATTTTTCATTTAGGTACAAATCAATAGCTATTTTAATGTCACACAACTAAATCTGTTAGTATTTGTCAAGTTTACCTGCATGCCTCAAAGAAAATTCATTGTGCACACCATAAGATGGCAATATTTCTCTTTGAGAAACAGTAGGGGGAGAGAATCACTGGAAAAGGAAACAAAATTTGTGTGTGATGGTGCTAGTATGCATCATACCGTCAAAAGCTACAGTGACTTTCACAAGCTGCAATAGTTCTAAATTCTTCTTTTTTTCATATTGGAAAATGAAATTAGAAATTATTCACTTAACACCCCCCCCCCATTTTTGATAGCTGATATCATGCATATCTGGTTTTGGACAGGTTTCCTCTTTCCTTACGGTATATTTATTGAACCATGTTTGTATTCTGAATGATACATTCATTTAAATGTCTATGTATCTCAGGGGAAATTTAGGTCATAGCTCAGTGGCAGAGCATTTATTTTGCATGCTAAATGTCCAGTGTTCAATCCCCGACATCGCTAGAAAGAACTGGGAAAACCCTAGAGAGCCACTGCCAGACAGTGTAGACCATGAGAGGGGAACTGGCCCACAGGCCAAATTTAGCTCATCACATCTCCCCAATTGCCCTACGAGGCCATTTCACCCAAGCTAAACACACCTACACTAGACCTGTCAAATACAATGCCAGATGCAGGGCAGATAGAGGTAGAGCTTGTCTGAAAGTGGATTTACAGGCACAGATTCAAAGCATAAAGTAAAGGTAAAGGGACCCCTGACCATCAGGTCCAGTCGTAACCGACTCTAGGGTTGCGGCACTCATCTCGCTTTATTGGCCGAGGGAATCAGCGTACAGCTTCTGGGTCAGCATGACTAAGCCTCTTCTGGCGAACCAGAGCAGCGCGCAGAAATGCCGTTTATCTTCCCGCTGGAGCAGTACCTATTTATCTACTTGCACTTTGACGTGCTTTCAAACTGCTAGGTGGGCAGGAGCTGGAACCGAGCAATGGGAGCTCACCCCATCGGGGGATTCGAACTGCCAACCTTCTGATTGGCAAGTCCTAGGCTCTGTGGTTTAACCC